TGTTGCATGGAGTGTTAGGCTTCGTCATGGTTCTCTCTAGGTGTACCATCCTGTAGTATCGCAATAATAATTATATACAAAAAGCAATCACAATTTGATGATGCGTAGATGCGCCTTATACCCGCTTTATGTTCTTGCGAGTGTGTGCAAGTTCGAAATAATACCGGTTTAGGGCCTGAGCGTGTCGAGCATGTTTTGTAAAACTTTACTCTTAAATATAGACGCTTTTATCGGCAGGGTGGTGGTGTCGAGAGGAAATACCAATTTTTGCATTAAAGATATGTGTCGCATGTCAATGAAATCTTGTAACACGTAACAGACCGGGTGACACACAGACTGTTATCTGCATGTCTATCACATAATATGCTATATATTTGCCAAAACCTATCCTAATTTGTATAAAAATAATTATAAATATGAAACCCCTGGCCCTATTCATTCACATACCAAAAATGCAGAAAAATCCGCTTGAACCCGAACTCGACTAATGGCAATTCCCATTTTTTGTCCAAAAAATTGCGGCTGGCTCGAAAGTACCATCTACGCTCGTGACTGCACCGGTGCCTCAAAATAAGACGTTCAATATCGGGCACATAGCCAGCTTAACAACGTATACCGCAATTTCAAACATTGTGGGTCAACAATGGTTCCTGAGTTATCGTTGACCGTAGCCAAAGCTTGACGGACGAGTGTCACGGACACGGTTCCGGAATTCGATTGACGGCACGCACGGTGCTGACGACGCGACGGCTACGCGACGCACAGACAGACGACGACCCATGGGCAATTAGCTCCGATCTTGACGAATTGTGACCTTTATTCAGAAAATTGATGCTGCGCTCCCATTGATGTTATCAACTTGAAAACCAGCTGTCGACTACAAGTTTAATGTAATTTCTTTTGACTTTTAGGTCAAGAACAGCTGGGTTTATACTGATGTTTGCAGTGCTCGTTGGAAGTTTCCTATCTGCAGGAATTGCTACAACGGTTAATGGTTGACCTTCAAACATTCCAATGTAATTCCCTATTATGTGTGAAAGTGGTTATTTTGGTGATGTGTAAATTGTGTAGAAAACGTTGTGAAAAAACTATAGCATACACAGAAATTGCTAAAAATGTATTATCTACAAGTAAAGTACAGTAATACCCCGTGTTACATGTGTTCCAGAAGTAACATTGGTAAAGTGAAAATCTGTAATGCAAATTGTTTTCCTATCGACTTCCATGATATAATTGTAGATGCGCTCCTACAGAAACATGTTCTGATAAAACATGTACTAGAAGGACAATTATGAATGCAAGTCAACNAGTGTAGTGTGCCTATAGTGCATTAGTTGGTTTCCGCCGACGAATGTTCGTATGGGTTCTATGGGTTTGGCATCGTGCCGCACGCCGCCGCGGCCAGTTTCCTTGGTGGCGCTTTACCCGCCGGCTGCGTATTTCGACTATCTTATTTCACTGAAGGGTGCGTTTCGTAAGCGAAGGACGCTATGTTTGTTGGTGTAGGCGGAGTTCGTTGCATGGTACATTTTTTGTCGAATATTCTGGACCTGTAACTCGCTGAACTGTTGTTACGCGATGTTCTGATTTTTATTTGTATTAAAAGTTATTTAGCTTATATGTAAAAGTGTAATTTTAATAAATAAGATAAATTTAACATTAAAATTTAAAATAAATAACATTTTATTTTTGTATTAACTTTGTATTTTTCATTAGATTGTCGAATCAAGGATGTTTATCCGGCCGCTGTGTGCGTAATTCCTGACAATGGCTAAAACAGCCACCATTACAGGTTCTCATATTTCCACAGATCGTACCATCGGCAAAGATCACTCACCACACCAACGCTGGCGTCTTCGCTTCCATGCGCACCTTCTTGCACATTTGAAGATGTCCGAGATGGGTAACTGCAAAGCTAAGAAATGATTTTATGATTTATTGCCACTTTCTGCAAATGACAATTTTCGATGCCCAAGCGTTGCCACATATTTTCTGCTTGTCAGTGTATGGAGGTATTTGTACTGTATATTATATATATCCATTTACCATGGCGATGGGTTTGACCCTTGTCGCCGCTGCCGCCCTGTTGTTGCAAAATTCCATGACAAATCGGCTAACGGCACGGCTTACAGGTTCTCTATTTCACAAAATGGTAACCCATGGCACGATCACTCCACCCACCACCCAAAACGACGGCGTCGTTGCGTTCCCGAACGCCCTTCTGCATTTGATATGATCCTCGTGGGGTACGACTGCAAATGGTACTGTACTAAACTGAAATCGTATTTCCACGATGCTCCCCCCAACCGCCTGGCGATATGTCGCATTCCTTTACGGGAGGGGGCGGGGTTTCACGTGGCAAAGCCGTAGCTATGTCACCGTAGCTTATTCCATTACGTTCTACCCACATTTCACGACACAATTTCACGCTTTTCCTTTCGCCAGGTCGCACTTTGCGTATCGCGTCTTGCTTGCCCATCTCTAGTCTTCTGGCAATTATTCGAAAAATCATTGGTAACGAGAGGGGGGGGTATATTCCAGTGGAAATAAACGCTTTTCACATTTCCCAGTGAAACATTAATGCTCTTTTCAACAGATCCGGGTAATCAGTTTGAGCAGCTAAATTTACATTACTAAGATAAGGGCTAGAGTTCAAGTGTATTTCTTGACAACAACATTGTGATGAAGAAATCAACAATATGTTGTGCGTGTCATGATTATACATGTGTGCTGTGCTGTGCGTGTGATCAGCCATATTGACTGCGCGACTATTGGTGATGTTTACCTCTTGGGAGGAGGTCTGTGATACCCGAAACCCATGTCCTTGCCTTGTGAGTTTGCCTATCCCGTCGACTTACAGTTACTTTCGCCTTCTAGGGTAACCGAATTCTTTACTTCCACATCTGAGGACACAGTGTGTCTGAAAACAAACCTTTGTCTTATGTGACTTGATGTTAGGTTTCCGTATGCTTTCCTGGCGACCACGCCGATGGCGCTACCCCGGTCGCACACATGGCTAGCAACACTAGGTTATTATTACGTTGTGTCCTGGGACGTTCGTCGGGCCGTGACTCCCCCCCACCCCCCGGCCCCGGCCCTCGCAAGGCGCCCGAGCGCGGCGCTTCTCGAAGCTCTGGGCCCCGCCAATACATTCTGCCCTGCTTCCGTATCGGTGGTCGTGGGTTAGCACATTGGCGAGTAACGAGGGGGACCGACCTCGACACGACCGTGGTACCCCCTGAGCTGCGGCGTTTACCCGTTAAGTTGAATAACGTGCCCACGGGTCGACCAGGGTTAAATCAGTTAGATGAAATACGACGCGCGGCATAGGCCTCAGTACCGGCGAGCTGTCCTTCGTGCGCAGATGCCGGAGGTTAATATTTTCAATTACCGTACTCTAGCTGGAATTTAAACAACCTGGTTTTATGCGGATCTATAGTACTGTACTTATTCATCACCTACAACGGACGGGACATTCGACCATGGGTGGCTATCCAACCTCAACCGACGCACCTGTGTCTCGACATCCCGGATGAGGCATGGCACGCAACCGCCCGGTGCCTGGATACCAGTACTCACCCTAGTATAGTGTAGTAATGGTACTCGTACGCTAATTGCACCGTACCGCCAACACACAAGTGCCAGGCCTTGCAGCTGCTGCCGGGTAGGACGTGGCTACTACCTCATCTTGCCGAGTCTTGGCTCATTCGGCTTAAGGTAGACTCGACATAGTCCTCCCCCCTCACGCTTCCGCTGGAACTCTACCGTGTCTTCGAACGTATGCTAGTTGTTTATCACGGCGCGCCACTCACTGGCCGCTGTGTGGAGGGGGCCGGGTGGCTACCAACATGGCTGCCCCATGGGAGCGACGTTAGTCGTACATCGTTTTGTGAGCTGGGCCCCGACGACCCGAAAGCCACTAATACCAGCAGAATCACATATTATCACTTCAAACTGGTCACCACACTCGGTCAGGGAGCCACCCTGTTAGGAACCCGGTCTAGGGTCCGGTGCCACCGCTACACTTATTTAACTTTACCTGCCTTCTACGTCCTTACAGAGATATTCCATTCATACTAGATCACGGGGGATACATGTAGTTGGCGACAACTGCCCGTTTCTAGTTATATAGGGCAAGTGCTTCTGGCATACAGATTCATGATACCACACTTCCGTGTACTCGATGCAATTATTGAGGGCAGAAGCCCAGGGTCACGTGGTCAGATGACATATCTCAGGGAGATCCATTAGGATGTTAATTGTTTTAGCAGTGATTACTATTTTCATTGCGACATACTAAATATAATCATAGGGCTCAAGGATCATAGGTGAGAGGATGTTATTTTATATTACTCGTAATTGTCATTTCTCATACTCGGAGTCCTTTCCTTTAATGTGTAGTGGGTCAAGATTGGTGGCTCTGGCTGGTTGCTGGCTGCCGTGCTCAACCTCTTGCTCGTGTATGGGACCTATCCTTTGTTCCATGGAAATGAATGGAGCGATTCTTTGAGTGGCTTCTACGTGGCAGTTTCGCGCACAGGCTGGAGCCTCGGACTCGGTTGAGTTATCTTCATCTGTATCATTGGGCAAGGAGGTAAGTAAGCAGCCTCTTGCTGTTAGCATTGCTTTGGTTTATGTATGTTTTGCGACAACATGGTTCATTTCTGTGCATCAGTACTATCTTACTTCGAGTCAAAGGCACTTGCTAAGTATGAAAGAATGGGCCACGATGAAATATGTTTACTTGCAACTTTTAGTTTAATAGTGCATAAAGTTACATACCCATTCTAATATCAGATTGCCATTCGTGTATTACTATTTACTGAGAATTGCTTTGCTACATTAACTTTCTGTTTCAGGATTTATCAACACTCTTTTATCATGGAAGGCTCTGATCCCTCTAAGTCGGCTGTCCTATTGTGCTTATCTTGTACATCCGGTCATCATAATGACCTTCTACTTCAGCCGTAGGGAACTGTTACACTGGTCTTCTCATTGTGAGATGGTAAGTCTAGACTAATAACCTTATTGTAACATTTCTACAATCTTGAATTTACCTTTACAACTATTAATCATTGATTTAATGATTGCTAGCTAAAGTGGACCAAACTAATTTGTTTTGCCCAAATAATTTTCTATTACAATTTGTCATAACTGTAGATGTATCTGTATGAAAACATTCACGACTGCAAAAAAGAATAGAGATTTGAGTGCTTTCTCATAAGTTACTACGGTTAATCAGGGCAATTTTGTCACATTCAATTTCAATTGTTTTTTGATTAGGTTTTTGTAATGCTAATTGTCTGCAATCGCATGGCTGTGAGGAGGAACAGACCTTTTCACTTGATCAAACTTTTTGATAATGAATTTTTGTTTATTTTTTTCCCCATTTTCTGATGTCATTTAGTGCCTAACAAAATGTGATTGATTCTTAAAGCTTGGTAACTTGGCACTACCATATCAAAGTGTGACAGTCTTAATTCTTTCTCTGAATTTTGTCTCTCGATTTTCGGGATATTTTAGTGAATTTTTATGTTCCAGGTTGTATTCTTCCTCGCCTTCATGGTGATATCCTACATGGTAGCATTCTGCGCTTCCATTCTGTTTGAATCACCCTTTATGGCGTTGGAAAAGGTAATTTTTGCCAAGCAGCTTGCAGGACACCAGAATACTGATGGGAAGCTCCTCATAAGCAATCATCCAATGAGCCACATTTAATACACGGCTGAAATAACAACAAAACTTTCAAGATGAAAACTACAATCACCTGCCATGTTGCAGTTATTTTTGAATAATTGTATCACACATTTCGTGTGCATGAATGATAATGGATATGTGTTATTTTTTCCTCTCACAAATTTTTATAGTGGCGAGGAATAAGTACTAACCATGTGAATTGCACGAGGTCATGGCACTTTAACTATTTTATGAGCAATGTAATATATCCTTCATTATCCAAATGTAATTTGAAAGCACCGTGTGTGTAATGTTTAAATGCAAAGGCATAGCACGGTGCTCTAAAGTAGTTTATGTCCGAATATGTGTCATTGAAAACATTCCACTGTAGCTAAATGTGATGGTAAGACTAAGGCGTTATAACAATAATGTATTGTGATCTTAGTTTAAACAGTAAATGTAATACCTTAGCAGAGATGCCAACACATATTTGAAGCAATCTGTAGTTTGCGACCATCAAATTAGTAGTTCGAGGCGTAGTGACCCGAGTTTGCTAGGGGGGTCCGGCATGCCCCCTGGAAAAATGTTTGATTCTGAGATGCAATTTCCTGCATTTTGAGGGTCAAAAAAAACAATAAATTGAAAAAAATGATAATTGAAAAAAAAAAAATTTTTAGATCATAGTGAAATTCGTAGTTTGATACAAACTGGTCGTAGTGGTGCAAAAGAAATAGGAATTCGTATAAATACGGATAAATCTTAGTGTTGGCATCTGTGCCTCAGGATATATTTCCGAACTCAGGCCTAAGCCTCTATATTCGGCTCCTTCTTTCTACATGCTCCCGGTGGAGAAGCGCAGTAGTCGTGTTAATCGTAATATTATATCGTAATAATATATGTAAAATCACGTGTAATCATAATAAGACTTGCTCTTGGTAAATAATGTTTCTATAAGCCAATTTTAAGTGTCATCCACTTTCCTACATTACAATGTAGGAAAGATTGTATTTCAAGATGTATTTTTATAAATAATGTATTTCACAACAAATAGTAAAATCAAATTTGTCCATACTGTAGTATATAGTCTCACAATGCAGTGATATGAAAAATATATGATGGTTTTAAAACGTTTTGGGCTACAGGAACCAGAATGAGTTCTAGTTTCTAGTGAGTTTAGTTCATATGTATTTGCAAAAGTCCACTTCAGTTTGTATGTCCAAACCAGGTAGGCTTACCTATAATACCAACGTACCATGCACTCAGGGCGTGTACAGGGGGGGGCACCAGGGGGTCCGGACCCCCCCCCCCTGCTCGCGCAGAAAACGCATCTAAGGAGGTCTAATTTCAAAAAAATTCCGGGGAAGGCCCCCCCCAGACATCCCCTTCGCGTGCTAGACCCCCCCCGGTTAGAGCCCCCCCCCTGGTAACAAATCCTGTACACGCCCCTGCACTACAGAAACATTTTAGAACATCTTGTAGTGCTCAGGGTCAGAACAAATAGCAGTGTCCCACTTTCACTTTGTCCATGGTGCATGTAGGTCAAACAAAACTGTCACGACATATTATAGCAGATGGTACGTTTTCCCCAGACCTACAGAACATTGCTTCTGGTATCCAACTAACGCACGAAGGGTCGTTGTCGTAACAGGTACTACAGATATGTACCGAGGTAGTTTAGGTTGTTTAGTATTATGTTAATATTTTTATATGAGGTATGTTTAGGGTTAGGGTTAGGGTTAGGGTACACTTCTGTATGTACAAAGTCTGGTACACTTTGTGTATACATATATGTACCTCGAGTACATATCTGTAGTACCTGTTACGACAACGACCCCTTGAGCCCAACTAACTGTGCACTGTAGGCTATAATTATGTGTATTTGCAAGAGATGTCCAGAGATAAAGTTTAAAGGGATACTTTCCTCTAGAATTTGAGAGTAATTATAATAGTAGATAAATAAATAATAGCATATTATACCTACAAATTTCTGTAATAAGCCAGTTCGTAGTTAGCCAAGGGTTGTGTGACGTCACAGGTTACCGGGTTATTTGTGACAAAAATCAATGAAATCTCGATTGCGTCGTGCGCTCTCTGTTCAGTACGTGTAGTCTGTGTATGTGTACACGCACGAACGCAAGCCCGCACCACACACGCACGCCCGCACGTGTACGTGCACACGCACGCACACACGCACGTGTGCGTGCACACGCACATATGCACGCACGAACTCTTACGTGTACACGCACGCACGCCCGCACGCACGCACGTACGTGTATATGCACGAATGCACGCCCACACGTGTACGTGCACACGCACGTACGCACGCACGTGTACGTGAACACGCACGCCCGCGGACTGTAGCCTGCAGCCGAAACGTTGCTTTGCACAACTTTTTCAGTGGCTGCGCTGCCAGTGGCACTGAAGGGGTCGTTGTCGTATATGTAGTACCCGAGGTGTCGGCGACTATGTCGCCTACGCCTACTCCCTAACCCTAACCCTAACCATATCAGATAGTTACCTCGAGTACATATTTGTACTACCCTATACGACAACGACCCTTCGTGCGCCAGTGGCGCCACCGTCATTGTAAGCAACGGTATAGCCATTAGTTTTAAACAATTGAAAAAAAAATTCTAATAACTATTGAACCACAAAACTTTTTATATACCGTAGCGTAATTTTAACCTATATTAACAGAAAAAATCTAAAGAACCTAGAGTAATGTATCCCTTTAAATACTGAGTACTGAGTTGATAACTGTTAGTATGTTCATTTTCTGCATATAAATGGATAACTTTTCTCGAATTGCAACCATTTTTATTTCTCATGCAAAGGTTACATCGTTCAGGATCGTTCACAAATATAGACATCTCTTATCACATATGTGCACGTGTAGCCACGCTGTGTACGTAGAGCATGTTTACACGAACTAAACAAATTTCTATATCAAGTCAAAGAAAATGTTCCTTGTTCTACGATTATTTCATGCACTGCCTCTCATATTAGTACCTTGCACTGACCTTCAAGGTGTAATATCATATTGCTACTTCAGATTAATTTGTTCTGCACGTTTACTACAAGACTGGGTCTTGTGGCCATAACACAGCCACCAGTACAGTGTATTAATGGTCATCCAGTTGCGATAAAATTGTACGATAAAACGACTCTGCGCTAAAAAATAAATCAACTATTTAGGAATCTGGTTGAGCTATTTTAGCCACTATACTAAAGATTACATTTGTCTATACAATTAGCCACTTGTTGTAGACATTTCAGATAAAATTTTGCACCTTTTAGGTTACATTTGGCATTAAAACCGTTTGCTGTGGACTTTAATACAGTATTGGTAGTTTGGAATGATATCCAAGAATGCAGGTTCTTTTCTTCATGAATAGAATCTCGTTCCCTCCCTCTCAACAATAAAGCTGCCTGCTGATATACACAGCTACAATATATATTCACGTGACCATACTATACAGTCACCATATGTCAATGTATGAAGTAATCGGGGGGCAGCCCTATAGACCGAAGGGTGATACTCCATTAGGAGTGTTCCCAACTTTAATGTCATTAATAATGGTCATAATAACATATATATATACATATATATATTGGTCATATATTAGTTTGCGGTTTAATGTCATTTAGGTTAGGGTTAGGGTTAGGATTATCAATCATTAATCATTAATCATTAATCATTAATAATTAATGATATCAAAGTTGGGAACACTCCTAATGGAGCGTTAGCCAGACCGAAGGTCCGATAGACCGAAGGTCCGATCATAGACCGAATGTTGCAAATGGTTAGGGTTAGAGTTAGGGTTAGGGTTAGGGCATATATATGGTTTATAGTGGCATCATATGATTTATAGTGGCATCATATGATTTATAGTGGCATCGGTGGATGTGCGGCATATTCACGTTGAACACGTTCGAATACGGCATCAGTGGATGTCCGGATGCGTAGCCTGGAGGCTAGGCGACCTATTCCGGACGTGTAGCCACTGCGTATTCGAATAAACCTTCGGTCTATCGGGCCTTCGGTCTATAGGACTGTAACCGAAGTAATCACACCATACATTCATGTGTATACAGTGTCCACGTACATAACGATAACATTAAATTATTAAACAACTCCCAATAATCTCGTGAATGTTTTGCATGCTATTCTGTATAATTGGCAATAACATCATTTACTACAACAATATATTCACTACTACCCATAAAAATATGTCACAAAAGATTTTGGACCCTTCTTTTATGTACGTTTACCTTCTTATATGTTTCACTATCAAGTTTCCTAATAGTTCCCAAACAGATAACATTCTACTGCAACACTAAAGCATGACAGCACCTCAGCTAATGATATAATCTATCGTGATATGCCAGTTGAATCACGTTAAAATTGGCAAGACCTAAAGAGCATATTATCAGCCTACGATCTACTCTCCTATACACTAACGTGTTACGTGTGACGTATCCAGGGCTCAGACTCATCACTTAATCTGCTAATGTGCAGTTAACTTTTGCCTTCGGATCAGTTTACTTCTATTTTGTTAAACAACTGATCTTACTAGATTAGTATAAAAGTTGGGTATTTGCCACAACAGGCTATAAATTATTCGAACTGTGTACAAGTTAAGGAATGGTTCTGAAAGGCGCAGGGGTGGCATCTCAAAGGAGATAATTGTTCCTTGCTATTTTTTCTTTCTCCTCTCCTACTAGAACATAGATAAAGAAACTGACTAGATATCAACACCGGACAGGGTTCAATCTTTTTTGCTGGCGTATCTGCTCGAATATACTGAGACTGACCATTACCTGTTAGAGATGGCAATGTTCTTTCCGAGTGTTGCCCAATTGGCCAAGGAGAATCAGAAGAAAAAGAGGAAACCAAGACCATGTTTAGAAGTGCTGCAGAATGTAAATTCTAGGATTGTATACGAGAAGAAGCTTGATGAAGTGCTAGTTGGTGAGCCACCGGAGGACATGGAACAATTGACTGATGAGATCTGCAGAGGTCTTGAGGACGCAACATGCAGTGTTTGTCCAGACCTGATTGAAGCTGCCAAATGCCGCCCATGGGAGGACGAGGAACTGCGCCAGCTTGTCAACCTTCGCTGGAAGAAAGAGGGAGAAGACCTTCGTCGGCTTAATCAACAAATACGAAAGAGGAGGAACATGCTTATCAACCAGTTCTATGATTGTAAAGCTGACTCCATCAACATGGCCCAAGAACATCGCGAGGTCGCGAGAGAATTCCGACTGGTAAAAGGTTACAACATGCACAAGAAGTCAACTAAAGATCTGATATCGAAAAGGAAGCTGCGTGAGCACTTTTCAAACCATCTCAAACGAAAAGAAGACCTACTGATGCCGCCTGAGCTGACTGAACCGGAAAACTCATGCCTGAACGATTGTAGGAATGCAGCAGAGGGTAGCAACCAGATGCCTCCATCGGAGGCGGATGTCAAAATACACATGGCAAAGTTGAAGAACCAGAATTGGAGAGAAGTGCATGGGAGTGAATGGTGTCAAAATGGAGTCTGACAAAAATGGCACAGGTTCGACGCAGCTTATGAAATACGTCCTCTTCTTCATCACCATGACTTGGTCTACATTGTTAGTTCCTGTCGTGTGGATAATGATCACAATTACCTGCCTGTTTAAGTAGGGCTCAAGGGCGATTGCTGCCAACTACCGTGGTATTAGCATCACAGCCACACTGTCGAGGCTCCTTGCCATGATTATCGTTGGAAGGCTAAGGGAGGCGTATAACTCGGAATTAGACAGGGCACAATTTGGTTTTCGGACCAACTCATCGACTGATGATGCGGTGTTTATACTACGAAATATCATCAATGGCTGTGGAGTACCCCTCTACTGCGCATTTATCGACCTGACGGCAGCATATGATACCATCCCGCGCAGATTTTTGTTCAGGGGTTTTGTTCAAAAGTTTGTCCAACACCATATCGCGTCAGCTGTTGCAAAGTTTGCAGAGTTGAAGCAGGTGCTCACAGACCATGGAGTGAAGCTGAAGACAAGAGGGAAATATACGGCCGCCTTCATAAGATCAAGATTGATGTATAACGCGGCAACATGGGACTTGAATGCTGGCGTTATGGCCGAACTGGAGGTTGAATGGGTGAGACTCCTCTGTAAAACAGTGCGCAAAGGCTTCAAACGGCGCCAAGCTCCACCTCCGGTTCTCTCTGATGCCGAGAGGGCGGCAGGGGACTGGAACTATGCATTCATCTACCCCAATGCAGATATCTACCGACTAACGGGAGCCAAATCACTGATAGTCTATCAAGAGCGGATTTACATCGAATGGCTTGGTCACTGTGCACGAATAGAGAATTCTAACCTGCAGAAGCAGTCACTGTTCATGATAACAACAGCATGTCAAGGGAAGTGCTGACAGCCTGATAGATGGCTGAGAATTGAGCGAGTATTTGGAATGGACAAAGGACAACTCCTTAAAATGATGCGAGAACGTTTGAGAATCAAACGGTGGATTCTCCGGACTCATGAGGTTAAGCCTCTAATGAGTAACGATGATGATGACGACTCCTCCCGCAACAAACATTGTGAATTAGCTGGACATTTTATTTAATGGTTGTTTTCAGTAGTTACTATTCGTATGGATTTATGATGAAGAAAAACCTCATCTGACATCTGATGTTTACATACAATCATGTTTACATACAATTCCCTATTATCTACTTCTGATACAATACATGTAGTGTGAATAGTTTTAAGAACCACGTTGACCGCCACATTGAGGGAGAGCTTTAAAAGCAATTGGCTACCTGCTCCCAATTCCACATAATAATTGGTGTTTACACTACCTGTGGCTTTCAAGGTAATTCACAGTAAATATTTCTTTCTGAGTAACAGCTGATCAGCTTACAGCCATGTGCATCGGCCTACCATTAGCTGCAATCAGGAACATCATAATATAGATCCATATTATGATGCTTCTGCTCAAAGCACGCAGAACGTGTGCTGATTCACATATTGGTTTACGAAATCTTCTGATTAGCTTACAGACATATCACGTTTGGTGCTCCAATAAATGCTCAACAACATTGAACTGCCTTCCAGACATCATGCACTGGATCCAAATGTCCAAAGGTCGTTGCAAGTGTAGTGATGTGTGTAGCCGAACAAAAAATGACGATATCAGACAAATACTCATGACCACCACCAACTCAGTAATCACTTGCTATTAAAAGGTTCAACAATTATGTATTCAATAAATATATACCACTTATATATATGTATAACTTCCAATTCATATAAAGGGGCGACACCTCAAAGGGGTGAATTTGCTAAGCATTTCATTTTATTCTGTTTTGTCCTTGAGCTAACTTTGTTGATTTCTACTCAACCGTGAAGTTGACACATACTGCTAACGTTTCGCGTTCTAACAGGAGGCTTTTTCAGGAGCCTCCTGTTAGGACGCGAAACGTTAGCAGTGTCAATAGAAAAATATTTTAAACGTCATGTTACGGATGAAGAGGAGCGTGTCTAATTGGCTGCCTGCTCCCAATGCCACATGATAATTAGTGTTTACACTACCTGTGGCTTTCAAAGTAATTCACGGTAAATATTTCGTTCTGCCTACCATTAGCTGCAATCAGGAACATCATAATATAGATCCATGCTTATGCTCAAAGCACACAGAACGTGTGCTGATTCACATATTGGTTTACGAATTCTTTTGATTAGCTTACAGACATATCACGTTTGGTGCTCCAATAAATGCTCAAAAACATTAATCTGCCCAGATACCAGATATCGTTCACCTGTTACTTGTTTCAAGGGTGGTGCACTTGTATTCATGTGTACATTAACCAGAAGCAGCAAACTACGTTTATCGTGCAAGCAATTCGCTTAAGTTTTATCACATTCGATTAAGTTTTTAGCTGAGTAAAAATTAGAAAATAATCATCTCAGACTAGTACATATATACCCATGGCAACTCAGCACTGACTCAGTAATTATTTAGCATTACAAGGCATGTGTTACACTTGCTAGGTGTTACTCTCAACCACAATTACGTATTCAATAGAAACATAATCACTAATAAATTGCTTATTTAAAAAAACTACCAGCCACACAACGTTAAAATCTCCCTACAATTCCATCTATTTAAATCTAATTAAAATCTGTTTCAACAACCTTTGATTTGTACATCAACACACATTTACCTTCGTAGAAATATACATAGATCTTCTACAGTATTTTACACGTTTGCATGCCACATACACGAGGTCAATAACGTTGTTCCCCACCCAGTGTGTATTAACCGTTGGTTTTAAAAGATAAAGCCATTGGAAATTTGAATTCCTTGGGATTAGTACATTATTTAAGTAGTGATATAGTTTAGACTGAGCGTAGCAGTTTCTACTAGGTGACTGCTCATTCACAAAGCCAGGCCTCAGTGGCAATGCTCTGTACTATCATGCACATGGTTGCCCACGCTTCTTTTCCAGCCAAAACAAAAGTAACCTGCAGCGGCACCAAACACCACACCTATGCACAGCCACACATTATATGTCATGGCAATAAGCATCAGTATGTAGGATACGGTCACCTGGATAAGGTGCAGGACAGTCTGTAGCACGTGGTCAATACTGCACATACGCAACCTACAAGTAAAGGCAAACAATTAAGCCTTCCTTTTGGACACTCATATAAAAAACTTCTCACAAATATCATCTGTCAATATGCTTTCCTTATGATCACTGATATTTTTTTTCAATATATATATTGGAACAAAATATCCGTGTGTTATATATCCAGGGTGCGAAATTAATGCGAGTTCAGAGTCAAATACTCTCTGATTTTTACATATGCAGGAGTCCGTGTGACTCCCTGAAAATTATGCTATATACTAACTAGTTTGTTCCAGAGCACGGCCTCGCGGAATTACAGTATTTTTTCAGCAAATGTTTAAAGAAAATTTGGCAGACATGCAACCGCATGAATCTTCAATATAAGCACATGCGTTATTGTTGGTATCTTTAGTTTTGAGCTTCAGACTGGGGGCTCCCTCATTTTGCTGCGGACTCCCTCTTTTTCAGGGCAGGCAGTCCGTTGGACTCCCTTGTTCAAAAGTTAATTTCTACCCCTGTATTTCAATGTGTTATACATATATATATATATATCAGAGCAATCAATACCTAGAGTGTACAATGGAAAAAACGGGAAAATAGTGGCTATTTCACGACATGATTATTCTACTTTGCCTGCAAGTCTAGAATAATTTTATGGTATTGCATTAAGCAGAATTCTTTGCTCTCTAAAACAAGACCAACGCCTGTCAATACGATACTCCTAGGCTGAGATATTTGCTCCTAAACCTCCCCTCCCACATGCCAAACGCCGCCTCGAATCCACTTCTGTCAGCATCCTACACGCGGCTAAGGTTGCTTCGTGAGAGTTCGGTTTTTCCGCCATAATTTTATGAATGATTTTCGGGTGCAGGTGCAGGGTGGAGGTGACTTTCGGGGCGTCGCCTATGCCCTTATCTCCCATTATCTTTCCTAGCACGGCTAATGCCCGTCATGATGGAGCCGGCAATGTTTTTTTAATTAAGTCTCTACAACGCAGCTAGTAAGAGTACCAAATTTGGGCATGTGACATCCAATTATCAGCGCTCCAAGCGCCGCGACGGAAAACGATAGCCAAAATGCTTAGCCGCGTGTAGGATGCTGACAGAAGTGGATTCGAGGCGGCGTTTGGCATGTGGGAGGGGAGGTTTAGGAGCCGATATCTCCGCCTAGGAGTATCGTATTGACAAGCGGTTGGTCTTGTTTTAGAGAGCAAAGAATTCTGCATTAATGCAATACCATAAAATTATTCTAGACTCGCAGGCAAAGTAGAATAATCATGTCGTGAAATAGCACTATTTTCCCGTTTTTCCGTTGTACACTCTAGGTATTATTAGCTCTTGATATATATATATATATATTAAGAGCTCATAATAGAGAAGAGTATGACACCGTTTTAACAGCGTTTTGCATAGTTTTCAACTTGTAAATATTCTATCAATATGTGAATAAATATATTTAAACTTTACCTTGTTTTCATCTATGATTCTCCCTTAAAGCGGATCTAGTACATCGTTTACTCTAGGTTCTAGGGTTATTTTCAGTTAATTTAGGTTAAAATTATGCTACATAAAAAGTTTCATGGTTCAATCACCATTAGAAATATGATTAAAAAATGTTTTAAAACTAACAACTACAGTTTGATTACAACGATGGTGGCACCACTCAAAGCGCACGATCTGATAAGTTGCGCAAAACCACTTTCCAGCCAATGGCTACAGACTGAGAGTGTTTCTTATTTATTCATTTAAAAGCAAAAGAATTGTAATATCTTATAAACCACATATAGTTTCAGTTATAATATGGATAAATTTGCCCTAAAATGAATATCGTTCGGTTAAATAGCATTTAGTATAAATATGATTGCACTTTTGTGATTAGCCCTCTGTCTGTAACGTGCAAAATAAATTGTCAAATACGCAACTTTTTCGGGGTGGCAGCACGGTCGCGGGTGTCATGGCGCCGTTCAAATTTCGTAGCGTTGATGTTTAATTAATTATAACAATTAAATTAGGTATCTGGTAACAAATACGTGTGGGTAATAGGTATAGACGATTTGTTATAAAGTAAGTACAGTTGTATGCAGTAAAATCCTAGAGACTACTGTCCCTTTAATCATATGACACCACCAATTTACCTGAAAATCGTATGTGTTCTTCAAAAAAGTTCATTGAATACGACACGGTTTCACACAGTTTTCCCAAACTTTTCCATCTCCGCAGCCAAACTTTGTTATCGGATTAGTGTTATATTGTCTCTGACTGGACGCTGGGGGCTGTTGGGGATATTAGGCATCGAATTGTATTCAGTGTGTATTGTATTGCCAGCGTGCTAAAAATAAATGTGGTGCTCATGGCGAGCTAGCAGCTGAGTGAGCTGAGCGTGTTGCCATCGTGTTCCTGATGATAAGGAAGCGAAACAAGTGCTGTTACTGTGTTTACCTAATATCCCCAGCAGCCCCCAACGCCCCGTAGTTACAACCTGGTGCTGCCGCCGCTGTATCAAGTTTGGCCGGAGATGCAAAGTTTGGGAAAACTGTGTGAAACCGTGTCGTATTCAAAGAACTTTTTTGAAGAACACATACGATTTTCAGGTAAATTGGTGGTGTCATAATGATTAAAGGAGAATCATAGACGAAAACAAGGTAAAGTGTTGAAATATTTATTCACATATTGATAGAATAATTTACAAATGAAAACTATGCAAAACGCTGTTAAAACAGTGTCATACTCTTCTCTATTATGTACTCTTGATATATATATATATACATAGACAAATCATAAACTCACCCATCGGACGTGGTTATGTCATTCTCAGAGGAAGATTCATTGTTCAGGAATATGACAGATCCATCTTGCTCCTTCCTTACACTGGTAGGTTGGACAGGTACAGAGGTTGCAATTCTGCTTTGGGCTTGGATAAGTAGATGCTCCCTGAACACCTTTAAACCTTCGTATAAAGCTGCGGAATAGAATAATTTGAAATTTTTGGATGTCATGATGTCTTGCTCTGGACCACATTCATCGTGCACTCTTTAGCCTATTCACAATTTACTATGATGTATTGTCATATACCTAGACATGATATATCTTACATTTCTGATAAATCCAAGTCTATGTTTATTTTTGGTTTAAATTAATAGTATTAGAGATATAAAAAATTTAAATCATCATTTACATTCGTTAAATCTGTTTTGTTGGTTGTTCATTTTGAAGTATGGAAAAATATGTCATATGTCATTGTCATCAAGTTACTGGTATGTGTGATCAAGATAAAACTGAACTTGTGATCTAGGTAGGATTATAGTCATCGCTTGATGATTAATTGGTATCAACTTGACCTTCAGTCTAAGCGATTACGAGCCAAGCATTTTGCAATAACAACATCTTGTCAAGATCATTGGTGAGGCTTTATACACTATGTACAAAATATACTCCTATATATATACACTCCTGATAATATTAGATTCAGCACTGCCTAATTTTGTGCACGTTTATTAAAAAAGCACTATAAGATTTGCCATGAGTATGTTGGGCAAGTAGGATGAAAAGAAATGTTAACAATATGCAATACATCATTGGGTTAACTATCATTTAAAACAAGATATACAGCTTGTTGATATAATTTTATTATTACTGAATTGGCCTCGATAGCTTTAATGCGCTGTATCTGAATTACCAATTTAACAAGCTATCATCCAGTAATTCTGCTAAGTAATTTGTAAATTACTATTGAGTTTTAAAGGTTACCTTTAAATGTCAGCATAAGGTGTCTGCTACACATAATTAATTGCTTAGAAAGTAAAACAAGCTCACGAACTCTTTTGACCTTGTAGATGAATGTCATAAACTAGTGACACCAGTACCACTGACTAGCAATGAAAAGACTGTTATTAAGGTTACCTGCAAGAACAAATACGATTGCCACAGCCCCAATCATAGCTCCTACAGTTTCGGTTTTCCAGATATCAAAGAGAATGACCTGTTTATATCCAGCTTGGAATGTCATCTGTGAATTTACACAAACATGCATTAATAGTCAAGTNTCATGTCATTCTCACAGGAAGATTTATTGTTCAGGAATATGACAGATCCATCTTTCTCCTGCCTTACACTGGTAGGTTGGACAGGTACAGAGGTCGCAATTCTGCTTTGGGCTTGGATAAGTAGATGCTCCCTGAACACCTTTAAACCTTCGTATAAAGCTGCGAAATAGAATAATTTGAAATTTTTGGATGTCATGATGTCTTGCTCTGGACCATATTCATCGTGCACTCTTTAGCCTATTCACAATTTACTATGATGTATTGTCATACCTAGACATGATATATCTTACATTTCTGATAAATCCAAGTCTATGTTTATTTTTGGTTTAAATTAATAGTATTAAAGATATAAAAAATTTAAATCATCATTTACATTCGTTAAATCTGTTTTGTTGGTTGTTCTTTTAGAAGTATGGAAAAATAGGAATTTTATTACATTGGCATGTCATTGCCATGAAGTTACTGGTATGCGTGATCAAGATAAAACTGAACTTGTGATCTAGGTAGGATTATAGTCATCACTTGATGATTAATTGGTATCAACTTGACCTTCAGTCTAAGCGATTACGAGCCAAGCATTTTGCAATAACAACATCTTGTCAAGATCATTGGTGAGGCTTTATACGCTCCTGATAATATACACTATGTACAAAATATACTCCTATATATATACACTCCTGATAATATTAGATTCAGCACTGCCTAATTTTGTGCACGTTTATTAAAAAAGCACTATAAGATTTGCCATGAGTATGTTGGGCAAGTAGGATGAAAGGAAATGTTAACAATATGCAATACATTATTGGGTTAACTATCATTTAAAACAAGATATACAGCTTGTTGATATAATTTTATTATTACTGAATTGGCCTCGATAGCTTTAATGGGCTGTATCTGAATTACCAATTTAACAAGCTATCATCCAGTAATTCTGCTAAAGTTTTAAAGGTTACCTTTAAATGTCAGCAGAAGGTGTCTGCTACACATAATTAATTGCTTAGAAAGTAAAACAAGCTCACGGACTCTTTTGACCTTGTAGATGAATGTCATAAACTAGTGACACCAGTACCACCGACTAGCAATGAAAAGACTGTCATTAAGGTTACCTGCAAGAACAAATACGATTGCCACAGCCCCAATCATAGCTCCTACAGTTTCGGTTTTCCAGATATCAAAGAGAATGACCTGTTTATATCCAGCTTGGAAAGTCATCTGTGAATTTATACAAACATGCATTAATAGTCAAGTAAGCAGCTTCAAATTTAATTTCTTTCTAGAAAAAAAGTCGAATAAAGCTATACATTTCTCGGGTAGTTTTATAATATGTCACTGTGGGTGACTTACTTGATAAGTCTAATCTCTATTATTTGTCATATTGGTCTCTATAGCATAAATAGTAATCTGCATTTAAGCAAAATACAACCATGCTAACTAAAGATAAGTTACTCTAAATAACTACTCATTATGCAATAAACTCGAAATTTAGACTTATACCTAATATCAGAAGTAGATAATAGCCTCGTTCACACAAGACCTCGTATTTATGAAATACGGTATTTGCGAAATACGGAATCTGAGACAAATACGTGCCGGCGTTCACAACGCTGATTTGTGCGGCTCCAGAAATACGGTAGTTGGCGAGCTTGTCGAGCTGCGGCTTTGAAACAAGCACCGAACGATGGCGAAATAAACGCATGCAATGCTCACCAAACTGGCCATTAAAATACGTAGACTAGGTCGGGCTGCTAACAGTTCCGACTCGCGTTATACGGAACGTCCGGCGCGCAGTCTACTCCAAATACGGCGGCTTCAGAATCCGGGTATTTAGCGTTCACGACGAGGAAATGCGTGCGGATCCAAGAGATTCCGGTATTTCTGCAGCATCGGCAAATTAGTTCGGGTCTGTCTTCGCGTATTTACATCAAATACCGGATCTGTTTAGATTCCATATTTCTTGGAACGCGCATATTGCCTCGTGCGTACGCTAAATACCGGATTTCTTGCTACGTGTGAACGCGGCTATATTGCAACAAACAAAACTTAATCTTGGCTCCTTTTAAAACTCATTTGTATTCCACACGGACATTGCTTATATATCAGGAGTAGATAATAGGGGAGGAATGATCTATATCCCTATTATACCCCTATTATCTACTCCTGGTTATATTTATAGACAGGGTGCCACATGACTGGAGTGTTGCACAGCTGCCAGGGCGATTGTCTGTGATGTGGATATTGTTTGTTGTGCAAGGGTGAAGGTAGCCTGGGAGAAGGGGGAGAGCCCGCCGTGCACCTACTCTACCTTCCTGGCAGCAGTAGGAAACGACAGGCAGCCACTTATAGATAGGACAACAGACCCGTTTACGGCCCATCTGCCTTCTTTACAAAAACAAAAAAGTGGCCATGGACATTTTCGTTATTTTTCTCACTAATGTGTCTTACACTTACTATTACAACAGTATTTATATTATGATTTTTAGCTCAGCTGACGAAGTCAGATGCAGCTTGTAGAATCGCATGATTGTCGCGTCGTGCGTCCGCTCCAACAGTTGGGCTGCAAATGCTTAACCGCATCGACGTACGGTCTTGATATTCGGGACTCGGGGATTGCGAAAAGTGACTCGGACGTCGAATTTGGGGGTCCAAGGTCAAAGGCAAGATGTGTCAATGGAGGGGGCAATATTTCCCCCTTAATTAAGGTATGAGGAATACGAAATTTGCCGGCACAAATCTCAACAGCTTGACCTACCTCTTAATATTCGATGTTATAGTGGTGATGGGAAGGAAACCCATGCACCAGTGCAAAATTGGAGGTGACATGTCAAAGGGCAAGTGGAAGCTCAGATATCAGACATTTGTCTGAGGACAATAGGTCTAACGGACGGGCGGAGTGCAAAAACTTTTCTTTTGTTTGCAGCGGGCTGACGACTACCGTGCTTTTAATCACTTTATTGAAGACCGTAAAATCCGGACTTTTCCGGCTTGACCGTGCGAAGAGTAAGTGTCTGATAACTTTGGACCGCTCAAGAAGAGGGTTAAACTATGGATTTGTTGACTTTAACAAGGATTGAACTGCTTTTGGCTATTGAGAGCCCCCCCCCCCCCACGCACCGACCCCCACCACTAACGCTCTCCGCTCGACGCATTCATGATACATGTTAATATTAGCGAAGTCATTTAAGTTACACAGCTGTATCTTGTATTACTGTTACTGATCCATTAGGTATAGCAAAGGCCTATATAGATTTTGAGATGCTGTATTAGTAGTACCTAATGATATAATTGCTCTGCACGAACGCGGTGGGCAGAAGGTTCACTTGATCGCTGCCAGTAAGTTTATGCAGAAGAATAGCCTGGCTAGCAGTACACCGTCAGTCTGAGCGTGTCAGCTGCTGGCGACACTTGTTGTTCATTGTCTGTTCAATTGAAAATCTTCTAACTGAGATATGATTTTGCATGATTTGTTT